GTTTACCATACCCCATTCTTCGGCACGCAAAGTAGATTATCCACTCAGTATACAACCATCACCAGCTTTCAAGCCCCGATCTCTACGCGCATATCCACCTGCTATCACTACTACCTCTCATGGCACACCATCCCACGCGACATCCGAAAACTCACATCCCCGACTGATAATCTAACGCTAAGACATAAAAAGAGGAAGGACGCAATGCAACTAGATCGAAATCATATCACAGAGAAGGGGTATACATACTACATGCATTATAGCCCACTTTGAGATAACAGAGAATATAGGTAATTACTTCCATTCCCTATACACAATACTGAAGAGTTAGTGAACAACTAGATTTATAATAATGTCCCAAATCATTATTTTTTAATAACATCAAGGATTATTATGACATTTTACATATTTTAAACAGTTAACATGACTTCATAAAAACAGATTAACAAGAGAATAAGAACGCGAACCCGAGCTGCGTAAGCGTAGGCTCCTGAGGACGTCATTCCGCCTATCCTCGCAATCTAACACAATGGAGACAGCGAGAGCGTCTCACCCTCCCCCGAGGCGGGCAGTGCTAGAGGTCACCAGGAGTCTGTCACACCACGAGCTTATGATGCCAGAACCCTTACCTCTACTCAGAAAATCAGACCAGAACAAACTTGAGACCTCACCTACAAAAACGAAAAATTCAGGAACCAGAGAAAGCGCAAAAAAATATAAGCTACAACAGGAATACAGACTCCAATCAACCAAAAAAACACTCAAGACTACCTGAGACGCGCAGGCCAAGGGCAGGGCTGATTGCTCGAAGTCAGAGATTCAACCAGCCTGCAGAGCGACATACATCTACTATAAATCGAGAAACACCAAAAACAAAATTGGCCAACTAATATAAATACAACAAAACAGACATCAGAACAAAAAAATTAAGCCCGGAGCATGGTGGCTCATGCTGTTTCCGATCCCAGCTACCTCGCGAGGCCTGAGGCACGACAGGACTTAGCCCTTGAGCCAGCTGAGTTTGAGCGTTGCTGGTGAGCCTAGGCTCGACCCACCCCGGCTACACTCTGCCTGGGACGCTGTCTCAAAAAAAAAAAACAAAAAAAACTTTAGCCAGGCATGGTGGCGAATGCCTGTAGTCCCAGCTACTCGGAAGCGAGCAGTAGGATCGCTTGGCGCCCAGGAGTTTCGAGGTTGCTGTGAGCTAGGTGATGCCATGGCACGTCACTCTAGCCTGGGCAACAAAGTGAGACTGTCTCAAAAAAAAAAAAAAACAACAACCACACAATAATACAAAAAAGTCTCAGATAACGAATATAGCACTCGCAAATGCGTCCTAATGGAACCCTTCTAATAATTAAATCACATTTTCTATTTTCCAAAGCAAATGAAAGTTACCTGATACCACTCCATCTATATACTTGAGCAGTGTAGGGTTAAAACCATTGTGCTGCGGCCCACTCGCTCGGGCATGCCGCTCCTCTTTTTCTTCCAACTGTTTTACAAATTTAGGACTACCCCATAAAATATCGAGGATAGACCACCGCCATTCCACAACCAACGCTTTTCATCCTACAATTCTCTGACTAAAATGAACATAGATCAAATAAACCTCAGTAAAGAACAAATAGTCTACAGCCACACTACCCAGAATGTGCCCGATCTCTTCTGATCTCAGAAGCTATGCAGGGTTGGGCCTAGTTAATACTTGGGTGGGAGAAGAGTCAAATAAAACCAAGACATAATTATTCACAATTTAAAGCTACATCTTAACTTTGTTCCCAGTAAGAATACCACAATAAAAACATACACTGTATAAACAAATGTTAAGAATTTGAGTTAATACTTAGGAAAACTCGGAGCAAGACTGTTTAGTCTGTAAACATGTAAATGTGATTTAAAAATAGAAAATACTTCTCCAAACTGTAAGAATGTAGCTGCTACATGAGTATCTGCAGAGATGACCCATATGCCCCAACAGCCAACCCCAACTGCCATGCTCCTCTCTGTTGGACACCTTGGAGAAGTGGCTCTGACCCACTGAGCAAGAACAGTGGCAGGAGATGCACACCTACTCCTTTTCCTCTTCTCCTATTCAGAGGACATAGTCTGAACCTCACTCAAAATGACAGACACGGAAGATAGTGATAAACAGCTTAGACGAGATAGTTCAACTGGAGGAACTATCTACTACTTTGGAAGATAAATGAGTACTTGGGCCCAACAACTAAGGTGATAAGAGGTACATACTAGGATACTATTTCAAGATGTCCTATTTATGCCAGACCTCACCGGGCAGCTCATTCCCCACAGAGGCACTACCTCACATTCCAGGAATATGGTGAGATACTTATAGGGAGGAGGAGCAAAGTTCCTCTGCTAGAGTTAGTTCCCAAAAATAAATTTCCTGACCCAAGGAAAAGGACTACAAATCCCACCGCATTAAACCTACTATTCATCATTTTTAGCTTAATACCTACCATACCCCCCGCCCCCTGAAATAAACCTTTTAATTGAAAACTAATTTTTTGCCTTCAGGCTTTACTGAAAGCTCGACATTATGAAAACCATCTCTGGAGCAAAATAATTTAAAAAATTTTAAACTAAATTTTCAAAAAGTAGGCATTGGCTGGGCACAATGGCTCATGTCAATAATCCCAGGGTTTTGGGAAGTCGACGAGCGAGTTCAATTGAGGCTGGGAGTTCCAGACTAGCCTGAGCAACACAGCAAGACTCTCTCTCTACCAAAAATAAAAGAAATTAATCAGGTGTGTGGCGTGCCATGTAGTCCCAGCTACTCAGGAGTCTAAGGTGAAAAGATCGCTTGAGCCCAGGAGTTCAAGGTTACTATAAGCTGTGATATGATCGCATTCCAGCCTGGGTGACAGAGTTGAGAGTCTGTCTCTTTTTAAAACAAAATAGCAGGCACTGCTAATGAAAGATGTTCAGTGTGTTTAAGAAATGTAAATATCCTTGATAGTCCATAACAATCTTGGGCCATAATAGTTTATCACAAATATTTCTGGGAGAAAAATTTATATTTTAAAAGGGCACTCACAACTTAAAGGTTTTACCTAGATCTTCCTCAATCCCTAGTTGCAATTTCTTCCCCTCCATCTTTTCTATGTCTTCATCATTAAACTTATACCATTCACCAGACTGTGGATCTTTCACATGGGCGATGTAGTGGCCAGAGTAAGCACTCACTCCCCTGTGTATGAGGACCGCACTGAGTTCATACACATAGGACCCACCTGCAAGAGGAGAAAGGGAGAAAGTAACAGAAACTTTGGATAACAATATTTCTTTTTATATCTTGAGCCTCAATTGTAGTTACTATCATTCTTTATATATATATATATATATATATAATATATATATGGTAACAGAACTCAGAACATGGCACCTAAAATAAAAACTATTTAGTCTTAAAAAATAACATAGTATAATCCTAGCACTCTGGGAGGCCGAGGCGGGCGGATTGCTCGAGGTTGGGAGTTCGAAACCATCCTGAGCGAGACCCTGTCTCTACTAAAAATAGAAAGAAATTAATTGACCAACTAAAATATATATACAAAAATTAGCGGGCATGGTGGTGCATGCTGTAGTCCAGCTACTTGGGAGGCTGAGGCAGCAGGATTGCTTGAGCCACAGGAGTTTGAGGTTGCTGAAGCTAGGCTGACGCCACGGCACCACTCTAGCCAGGCAACAAAAAGTGAGACTCTTCTCAAAAAAAAAAAAATAACGTAGCAGACATTCCCTTAAGCAGCATACTGCATTAACTCTCCATTCCTTCTACAAATATGCTGGTGAAAAATTATGGCATTCTGGGCACTCAGGGTTGGTAAGCTACGCTGTAGCATATTGTGCCCTTCCATGCAAACTAGCTGAGCCAAGTGCTTACCAAGAATCAGCTGTTCATATTCTCCAATGTACTACAAAAAATTAAAAGCTACACAAATCCAGTAAAAGCATAAAATGAAAAAGCTATTGTTTGTAGAAAAAAGATAAATGTTTAAGAAAAAATTGAGCCAAGTCATTAAAAAATTTGTTTTCAAAATAGTTGTAGGCATTGGTCAAAGGGTACAAACTTTCAGTTACTACGATGAAGCCTGAGGCCGGGCATGGTGGCTCATGCCTATAATCCTAGCACTCTGGGAGGACGAGGCAGGCGGATCACTTGAGGTCACGAGTTCCAGACTAGCCTGAGCAACACAGCAAGACTCTCTCTCTACCAAAAAAAAAATAGAAATAAATTAATTGATCAACTAAAAATATATATTAAAAAATTTAGCCAGCATTCGGCTCCTGTAGTCCCCAGCTACTCGCTGAAGCTTAGCAGTTAGGAGCGCTTGAGCAGGTGATAGTTGCTGTGAGCTAGCCTGAATGCCAGGTCCTAATTCTACCTGGCCCGAAAAGTGACTCGTCTCAAAAAAAGATAGCTGGCAACATATCAGACTCTGTGTCTACGAAAAAAAAAGTGGTATATACTATATGCCAGTTACTCAGGAGGCTGAGGCAGGAGGATCCCTTGAGCCCAGGAATTCTAGGCTGTAGTGAGCTATGACTACACCACTGCACTCCAGCCTAGGCAACAGAGCAACGCCGTATTTCAAAAAAAATTAAAATATATATGTATTGAATAATTTCTGCATATTACCATGCTAATGTACAGAATGGTAAGATGGATGACATGTGAATTTATGACCATAGTAATCATTTCACAATATATACCGTGTTCCCCCGAAAATAAGACAGGGTCTTATATTTATTTTTCCTCAAGAAGACACCCTAGGGCTTATTTTCAGGGGATGTGTTATTTTCCCCTAAAGCCTAAGCATGCAGCATGCACAGGATGGCCGGGACCTGACAAGGGGAGCCAGCCTTGTTCATGGGGCTGCCTGCACCTTTCTGGTCACCTCTGGGAGTAGCTGTCACGATGGGGCAGATGATGGGGCAGATGATAAGCGCTGCTTGTCTTCTTTACCGCTCCACAATGAAATGCACGGGTTGTGCAGATACGCTGCATAGCCACGCCCATCACTAGGTCTTATTTTCGGGGTAGGTCTTATATTGCACAAATGCTTTAGAAACCCTGCTAGGGCTTATTTTATGGGTAGGTCTTATTTTCGGGGAAACACGGTAGGCATCATCACATTATATACCTTAAGATCAAGCAATTTTGTCAATTATACAATAAAGCTAGAAAAAAATAAAAATAGGTGAAGGCAAGACAACTGAAAATATAGGGGAGAAAACATTAAAAATCTAGAATGATGCTGCACTAAGATTTCTTCATAAGTATTTTAAGTTCTTAAGTCATTTTAAATAAACAAAACCTACAAATCACAGCCTGTATATTATACATGTGGTTTATCGAAGGCATTACACATACATAAAAATATTGGCAATAAATGAACATTTACATTTTAAGATAACATCTTGTAAAGATCCTAACCTTCAACAAATGATAGGAGGGAAATGTGTTGAAAAAGATCTCTTGTACTACACATTTTATTACTAAAAATTAGAAAACAGGCCAGGTGTTGTGGCTAACACTTGTAATCCCAGCGCTTTGAGGGGCTAAGGTGGGAGGATCACTTGAGGCCAGAATACTAGCCTCGACAACAAAGCAAGATCTTATTTCTACAAAGACAAAAAATTTAAAATGAGCTGGGCACGGTGGTATGTGCCTGTAGTCCCAGCTACCCAGGATGCTGACGCAGGGGGATTGCTTTAGTCCATGAGTTCAGGGCTGCAGTGAGTTATGATTGTGCCACTGCACTTCAGCCTGAGTGACAAAGCGAGATTCTGTCTCAACAACAACAAAATTAGAAAATAAAATAAAAAAGTCATTAATAAACCCACATAACCACTATTAATACTGAAACCTACATTTTTTCTAACAAACTTATCATTAACATCTTTCCATAGAGCAGTTGACTAAAAGAACAAAGTCTCTGTATTTTTGTGGCATAGTGGGGGAAACAGTAATACAGATTAATGCCTGGACAAAAATCCACTCAACTCACCCCAGCTGAAAGTAGTTAAAATACTGAGTAAGATAAAAATATTTTTAAATATTTTAAATATATATTGATTCGCTGGCAAGAAAAGAATTCTCAGAAGCCAAACAGCATGAAGGCAGGAAGCTAAGGGGGTAAGGATAACAAAGTTTTCTTCTGAGAGCATCAGGTGAGCCCTCATGAACTTAAAATCTGTTTCTTCACATCTCAAGAAGCTTGTAGGACTAGAGACAAAAAAGCTAAGGCCCATAAAAGGTGAGGAGTCTAACAGGGGAATCCTATCATGAAACTATCATTCTCTTTTTTAATAGACAAATAATATTTGTATATATTCATGGAGCACAATGTGATGTTTGGTGTGTTTACATTGTGGAATGATTAAATCAAGCCAATTACTATATCCATTCCCTCACATACATATCTTTTTTTGTGGTGAGAACACTTTTAGCCATTTTGAAATAAACAATGTATTATTAACTATAGTCACCATGCTGTGAAGCAGATCCCCAAAACTTATTCCTCCTATCTGAAAGTTTGCGCCCTTTAAATGTCATCTTCCCATCCCTCATCCCCTCCGACCTCATCCCGGCCCCCCAGCCTCCGGTAACCACCATTCTACTCTCTACTTCTACGTGTCTGACTTTTTTAGATTTCACATATACTTAAGTTTATGCAGTATCTGTCTTTCTGCCTTATTTTACTTAGCAAAATGTCCTCCCAGTTCACCCATATTGTTAGAAATGACAAAATGTCCCTCTTTTTCAAGGCTGAATAATATTTCCATGTGTGCATATGTCACATTTTCTTTGAAACTAGGGTTCTTCAGTTTAAGAGATTAAAGAAATAAACCTGCCCTTCCCAGGAGACAGCATGGGGAAATTATTTGCCTTATACTTACTTTGGTACTTGGGGGATAAGAAAAAAACACATCTCCATTGTGAGTTCATAAGAAGCTAGCCCCATGAAGGTTTCTCCACCATGAATTCACACTACCTAGAAAGTCAGAAAAACCTCAAGCTGAGAGTTCTATTTGATGTGGTCCTGAAATGACCAACAGCTCCAAGGAATGAGTTCAGTCAAAATACACACACACACATACACACACACACACCCCCCTATCCCATAACACAAAAGGATACTAGAACTGAGAGGCAACACATAACAGCAAAACCAAACTCATGAAGGTTTTCACCTCACCTACTAGAAATAGCAAATAAATAAAATTTTAAGTATATTTAAAGAAATAAATGATGGGATTAAAAAAGGAATATTATAGAAAATGAATATCAGATTATAAGAAAATGGAACTTCTAGAAATGAAAATTACAGTAACTGACAGTCAAAACTCTATAGAAAGGGTTCTGTACCTCATGTCAGGTTCACCTGAACAGAGCAGAAGGCAGTGCTGAAGAATGCAGGGCAGAGCAACAAAGAGTCAGGAGACATGGAAGGTACAGTGAGAAAATCTAACACACATCTACCTGGAATTCCAGAAGGAAAAGGGAAAGAATAGAGAAGGGAAAATTTTGTAAGAGATAACTGTTGGGAAATTTTCAGATACCCTAGGTAAGGAGAATAAATAAATTAAAAATCTACTGCAATCAACTTCTTAACAGCAACAATGGATGCCCCAAGACAACAGAACGATATCTTCAATGCACTGAATAAAAATAACTACCCATACTTAGAGAAAATGAATTTCAGAACAAGGAGAAAACAGACACTTTCAGACAATGGTATTTGAAAGGAATCTTTTGCCAACAGACCTTTACTAAAGGGATTTTATAAGCAGTAATTTAATATTTTAGTAGGGATTCCAGATGGAAGGTCTAGAATGCAAAAAGGAATGATAAACAAAGGAGGTAGTTAAGCAAACAAAAATCTTATGCATAAGGTGTCCTACAAGTTTTTTTTTAAAGAGGTAGAACTAAAATACACATGAAAATAATTTAGGAGACTAATTTATTAATGTTTTGGGGTCCCTGTATTATTTTTAGTGGGTAAAGATTTTAACTGTAGAGAATGCATGCTATAATTTCTAAGTTAATTCCTAGTGTCAGCTGGTCCAGGCGATCTCTGCCCTGAGGGCAATTCCACACTTTTAAGGGATTACCTGGAATCACCCTGCCTGTTCTTTCTACTACACTGCACTTTCCCAGTTCCTTCATGGTGAAGGTGAACCAGAAACAGCCTGTCTATCTCCCTGACCTCAGACACCATGAAGAAAACTCCTTAGCCCTGAACAGATCAGTGGAAACAAAGAGAAAGGGGTAAAAAATGTCATGGCCTTAGAGTGGCCATACCAGATTCTTAGACCTGGGTAAGTAAGCCAGGGAACCTCAAGCCTTGACCTTTGTTTGAAATGGTATCTAACAGTAGGGCTACAGTTGCTTGACAAAAAATGAACCTAAAGGCTTGGTGGATGCTAAAAAAAAAAAAAAGGCTTGGTGGAGAAGGTGGCATGTGGCCCAGCTCCAGGGGAATCCCCACAAATAATTTCCATGTACAGTTATCACTGCAGCCAAAGTGAACCAGGTACAGAAGAAACAAGGCAACATGGAGAGAACTATATCAGATAACAAAAAATAAACCTGTACAATATTCCAGCACTGTCACGGATTATAAAACAACTAGGCTTTTATGTTTCAAGAAATAGGTTTAAAGAATTTTTTTTTAACATTTTGGTTACCTTTAATATATTTGTGAACAACTACTGATAACACATTTTAAATACATGAATAACTGAGAAAGGTCATATATTTATTTTTGTGGCTCTATTGACTGAACTGGTCAAAAGCACCTCATTTTGTAAGAGGTGGGTGAGGAGCAGAGGAAGAACAAACAAAGGGAGAGGGATTGAAAAGGCATCAAATCCTAGGATTCTCCAGAAGGACAGTAGCCTCCAGAGTTGTCCCAGAGGATGGGATTCTGAGGTGCATAATGTTCCAGCAACCTTGGCAGGACCTAGTTCTCAGAGACACAAGAGTGTGACCAATGGATGAACCCGTAGCTGGAGATCCAAAAGTGAGCAGTATCCAAAGACATCCCAGGGTCTGGGAGGAAGAACAGTATGGTGAGCCTGATGACAAACACAGACTCTGCAATGTTGGGGGGCAGCGCCAAAGGGACTCTTCTCCAGCTACCTTCAATGGCCCAGCTGAAGAAGCAGAGGGCCCAGAGAAAGATTTAATTACAGGCTGTTTTAGCTGGCAACAACCCAGATGGAAAAAGAGTAAACTCAATTATGATGGCTGGTGATGTGTGCTTATAAAGTAAAATGCTTTTTAAAGGGGGGGAATATTTGCTGTAAAAGTCAGACGAATGGTTTTATTTAAAGGGAGTAAGGTGGTTATAATTGTGAGGTGCACAGAAGAGGCTTTTAGGGGACCAGAAATTGATCTGAGTGGTGCTCAACAGATGTTCACTTCATGATAGTTTCCCAAGCCACACATATTTTTGTTTTGAACCCTTAGGAATATGTTATATTTCACAATTTAAAAAGGAGAAAAAATAAGATGGACTGAGATATATGAAATTTAAACTATGGAAGGACAAGGTAGGGCACGGCATTCAGTAGGGCTGAGGGAGGGAAGAAGACAAGATTGCTATGGGTCACCCCTCGTCTACTACAAGGGGTTCTTAGCAATATTCCGTAAATCATTAATGAAGACAATAAGCCACAGAAGTATTAGCAGTAACATAACTTTATTACCAATAAAGTTATTAACATAACTTTATTACCAATAAACACCACAAAATTTTCATATTACATTACTATTCTTGCAGATAACCTGAATTTATACTCATCAATTTATTATACTCATCAACTTCAGAATTACAGTAGTTTTAAAATCCCCAAGAAATATGGCAGAAGTTGAGTTAAAGAGTCGGGTGCTAATGTTGAAGGAATAAGGATCCCTTATTCTATAGATCTCTGCAGAGCTGCAGGCTCACTGTTCAAAGAAACAGGTGAATTCTCCTTTAACAATAGATCACCTTTTAGATCTATTTTCTTAGCTTTGGGTGGATATGTGTATGTAGACACACATGAATATGAGTATAGAAAAATATAAGTATTGGTTTGGTTTTCCTGGTGATAGAATTACACATATGGTTTTCATTTCTCATCTTTATGATTTCTAAATTTCCAAAATTATAACAAAAATTAATTTGTTTTTCGTCTTCTACATATATAAGGTAGCACATTTTTATAGAAAAGATTACAACAATCCACGGCCACACCACCCTGAACACACCTGATCTCGGAAGCTAAGCAGGGTCGGGCCTGGTTAGTACTTTGATGGAAGAAAACATTACAACAGCCTGTGAAAGACAAGTGTGTAACCTACAAACTACCAGATTAATTTTATCAGTCCAAAAATTCTAAAATAAGACAACAATATTTATTTCTGTATTTAAAAATTAAGGTTTTATTGTATTCAGTAAACATGCTAAAAGTAAATGTTTCTATAGATTTTTAATCTATCAAGTCTATTTGATAAATATCCTTTCTTTATAGAATAAATCCTGGACAAATACATAAAACATTTAATAACAATAATAATAACAATTCAAACTCATACAGTAGAATCAAGGAGAGTGCTAAATTTCACACCTCCTAAGCCACTAACCTATCAGACTCCCCTAATTTCAAACAATTATCTAAACAAAGGAGGCAGAAAACAAACTATTAGATAAAGTAAACTAAGTTCACTTAGCTTACAATATAAAGTGAGCTAAGTGTATTCATTCAATGAAATGTAACAATGATGAAATCTAGAAGCAAAGTTTATAGCAGTTTCCTTCTTCCATGGAGGTGCAAATTTTAAACGAAAGTGCTAATAAAACATCATACATTTGAAAGCGTAAACATTTATTTAACATGCCCCTCCCCTGACCTGCCCAATCATTTCTTTTAAAGATTTTTACAGTTTGTTTCAACTGTCGGCTGCCTCTAGAACTTTTTCTTTGGAAACAGATAGAGTTTATGAAATAATATCTATATTAAAAATTTCATGACTAATAAGATCAACCCTAAAGAGAAGTAAAACAGTCCTTCCAGTCAGGGAAAGAGAAACATAAGGGTAAGATGTTTGTTTGCTATAACAAGAATCACCCTGTTTGGTTAAATGAAGACCACTTTAAAAAAAAAAAAAAACAGTACTTATTTCTGGTTAAAACTATGATAGATATAACATCCTAAGACCATCCTAAGTGGTCACAAATACAAAGAATTACAGCATAAAATGTTGGAATTATGCCACCTATTGTTTCTGATAAAAAGTTTTTCAAAAAGTGAATGGAAGGCCAGGCATGGTGGCTCATGCCTGTAATCCTAGCACTCTGGGAGGCCAAGGCAGGAGGATCAACCAGGAGTTTGAGACCAGCCTGAGCAAAGTGAGACCATCTCCCTGCCATACTATCTCTACAAAACATTTAAAAATCAGGCAGGCTGGCCGTGTGCGGTGGCTCACACCTGTAATCCTAGCTCTCTGGGAGGCCGAGGCGGGCGGATTGCTCGAGGTCAGGAGTTCAAAACCAGCCTGAGCAAGAGCAAGACCCGGTCTCTACTATAAATAGAAAGAAATTAATTGGCCAACTGATATATATAGAAAAAATTAGCCGGGCATGGTGGCGCATGCCTGTAGTCCCAGCTACTCGGAAGGCTGAGGCAGGAGAATCGCCTGAGCCCAGGATTTGAGGTTGCTGTGAGCTAGCTGACACCACGGCATCCACTCTAGCCTGGACAACAAAGTGAGACTCTGTCTCAAAAAAAAAAAAAAAAAAAAATCAGGCAGGCATGGTGGGCATAGTAGTGGGCACCTGTAGTTCAGCTACTCAGGAGGCTGAGGCAGGAGGATGGCTTGAGCCCAGAAGTCTCAGCTTGCAGAGAACCATTATAATGCCATTGTGTTCTAGCCAGGGCAACATACATAGTAGGATCCTGTCTCATAAAAAAAAAATTAATTTTTAAAAAAAGGAATAGAGGCAGCTTGGAGACTCCCAGTTTTGAGGAATAACAGAAAATAGTACTGAAGCTAAGGTAACAAGTGTGGGTTCAGAAACAGTAAAATATCATTTGCATGTTTTACAAATTCTTTTTATACCCTTAATTACATAGCTATTGATTGAAGAACCAACTAATCTTTGTTCTGTCCTTACAGAAAATAAAATTAACATCTTGGCTCATCTAAAAAAGCCTTTGTTCCCAGACAGAGATTAACAAATAAAAACTAGCAGCAACTGCTATTCTATATTCATCACTAGCAGATCACAAGCTATAGTCTCTGAGCTTTATAATTTTCAATGCTCAGTAAAAAATATTACCTTTATGTTCCACATAAGGCTCCATATCCAAAATTTCTGAGAAGCCAATGTAGGTATTCAGCTTTTTCTTATGTCCAGTTTGCCTAACCAAGAGGAAAGCTGATTATATTTATATTTAAAACAATCATAAAACAATGTATAAGCCTTATCAGCTATTAAACTCAACAGTAGCTAGGTTTCATTTAGCAATCTTGCTCAAAAATGTATACAATTAGAAGTGAACATAATACTGTTTTATAATTTGGAAAATAATAATCAATAGGTTAAAAGGTTTGAATTCAAAGTGCTGATTCCAAATATATTTCTAGAAGTTTTAAATTAATCACTAAAGAAAAACAGATTCTCCTGCTTTATAGAAGAAATGCACATGTGCAAACACTGCCTTGATTTTATTATAGTTATCAAATCAAAGTTATATTCCCATGGAAGTAGAAGGGTACTGTAATGAGTAAAACATTTACTTAAAATATACAATAATAAAGAATGCTGAGGTAATTCAGTTTTTTATAGTTTTTAATAATTTCTTAGAATAAAAAAGCAAGGCTTATACCTACTTTTCTAGTTCTCAATTACACATTCCTGGCTTAAGAATTTTATGATAAAATCATGAAATACTGACACAGGCTCCATCTATAACTTTTACCCTTAAATCTAGAGTTGCAAATTATAATCATTTTATTATCTTATCTGTTTACAGTAAAATCTGTACATTATTAGCCCACAATGAACAACGCACACTACTACTTGTACACATTTACCTGTCAAAGACAAAACGCATTAGCTGTAAGTTCAGAGTGCAAGGAAGGCTAAGAAGTCGAATTTTCCTTGTTGCATTCTGTTTGCTTTGACAATTTTCACAAAAGTATCGATTATCTCCTTCTAATTTTTCTTCCTGATCAGGAATGAGACATATTAATTAAAAAAAGATGAAAAAATTTAAAACAAGTGAAAAAACCTGATAACTATAATTTCATTTTAGTTAATAGCTCCCATTCAAGCTGTTTAAAGCTACTATAAATAATGGACACATAAGATCAATAGGCACTGCTTAGCTGTTACATTATCAATTTGTGTACAATGATGCTTAAAACTGATGTGCCTATTTCCAAAATGTATGATTTTTTAAATACTCGTTTTAGTTTCCTTGTTCTGGTAATGTTATTTCTGAGAATTCTAAAGAAGTGGGTTTTAAAAAGAAATGTCATACGTACTTTGATGCAAAATTAATTTTTTAAAGGTGGGAAAAAGTGGGTAGAAACTACATATGGGCACCAGAATACAAAATCATATATGTATTTGGTTAAAATTACTGAACCATATTCATGAGACAAAGCTAAAAAGAGAAGTACAGAAAAATCAAACGTTTTAGCTGATAGTGGTTTCTTTTTAAATTTGCCTTTATAATTAATTCTGTAACAGCTTTTTGTAATAGGTTATTGTAAGTAATACAACACTGGTACCATTATTTCTTCACTTGGCCTCCAGGATCATGCTCACCTATTTTCCTTCTAACTCACTGGCCAACCTTCCACATCATCCTTTATCTTGCAGGTCCCTTAACATCTGAATGTCCCAGGGCTCAGTACTTGTCTCTCTCCCACTCCCTCCAAGGTTTTATCCAGCTCTGACTTTTCCCTTTAAGCTATAGCTCTCAAATGTAACATGCTCAAAGCCAAACTCCTAATTCCTCTCCCAACCCTCCTCCTTCCCCACAGTCCTCCCCATCTCAGTACTGGCAACTAACTACATCCTTCAGTTGATCAGGCCAAAAACCTTGGCTCCCTTCTTTTTCTCTATATCCAGTCTGTAAATTTTATCAGTTCTACTTTAGAAATATATCTAAAAGCCAAACACTACTATCACCGCTTTAGCTAAACTTTGGTCCAAGTCACCATGCACTCTTGTCTGCCCTCATTCAACCTTCAACCTATTTTCAAGATCCTGTTAGAACAGACTGTATCACTCCTATGGCTCACAACCCTGCTAGCATCTCAATCTCACTCACAGTAAAAGTCAAACTTCTGACAAAGGTCTACTAGGCCTAGTCCGACATGGCCCTTGGTTACATGTACAATTTTGTCTTCTATCATTTGCCCTTTGCTTGTTCACTCCGGCCACACTGACCTCCTTACTGTTCCTCAAACCACCAGGTACATTCTCGCCTCAGCCTCTGCTATTTCATCTGCCCAGAACACTCTTCGCCCTGATTGCAACATGGCTCACTGCTTCGCCTTCAATTATTTTATTTCAAATCACAACCATCCTCACCCTCTTCCCTAGCACATTGCCCAGCTCCCCACTGCTTTACTTTTCTCCAAAGCACTTATTATGGTTGACATTATACATTTTACTTACATTTACTTCACTGTCCCTCCCTGGTACCCACGCCACTGTAAGCTCCATAAAAGCTAATTTTGTGTGCTTTGTTCTCTGCTGTTATCCCCAACAGCTGAAACACTGCCTGACACCCAGTAAGCACTCAATATTTAGCTGAATGAATTCAATAAATGACTACTTCAGCCATGCTAATGATACTGGGGGAGTAGGAAAAACACAAAAATATTTTAAGACAGGAAACTGTATAATAAGCTCATCTATTATGCTATGTATCCCGTTCAAGCTTGGTAACAAAATGTTTCCTCTTAGCAGTTTTCCACTAAGAACAAAAAGGAACCACTTCCACATCTCCACATATATCTAAATATACAGATGGTAGAAATATGGAGTGGAAGGGCTGAAGAATGACCACACTGATGCGAAAAAAATTGTATTTAACACATTCCAGTTCTCATTTTGTGAAAAGGCAAATTAATTTTATGCTAACACAGCTTAATTTCCTTCAATACGCCAATACCCACTATAAGTTTTCACACATATATAATTTGACATATATAATTTGAAATAACCAAAAATTATTTTAAGACACAGCCTGCTTCTGTATTTTTATAAAGTTTCTTCTAGATTGTTACGTAGACACTTCCTATGTAGAAAAAGCTGACACAATGGCTCTATCCATTAAATCAAAATACCACTCAGAATAGCATTTAACTTTTAATGAGCAGAAACAATAAATACACCAAAATTTGAATACCTTCAAAAATTCCGAGATACAATCTGTTAACTGTTTGTGGCCTTGGATATTTAACTCCAGTTCATAAAACTTTGATAAAAGCTTAGACTCTCTGCCACACTGATTGCAACTATAATAAAATAGAGTGATAAAATTAAGATCAGAGTGAGAAAAGCAATAAAGTGCTATCATATTACATCCTAGAAAGATGGAAAGAAGCACTTATAACCTCAATTCTCTTTCACAGAAATTATATTACATATATTAAAAATTAAATAAAAACAGGAAGTGATTGGTAGGGTCATATATTTTATAACAGGGAAATTTTTAAAGAGGTATTTTACATTTACTGTTAGCATTCTAGCCTGCTCCAATCTTATTCTTTCAGCTCAACCACACATAGTCCCTAACACCTGGATGGGTTCAACTGTAATTATCAAGTCGATTGTTTACATGTTCCCATGGAAGTGTATTACTATAAATATTTCAGGTCCCATGATAACCCACTAAAGCTGTAACCTGGAACTAAACTGAAAATTCGATAACATATGAGCAACTGTCTTAGAATAAAATATACCATGAAAAAGGTGAAATAGACTTACACAGTTACATAAGCATATTCCCCACAGAACTGCTGTTGGACAATGTTCCGCACATCTGGATTCTTTTGTTTAGATAAAGTATCCTCCAACAGAGACATAAAGAGCTTTGAAAATTCTTGAGCATCCTACAAGTTTAGATTAATAAAAAGAAAAATCATATCTTGCTTTTCAATTTTTAATACAAATAGTAATAAATTAAATATTCCAGAAGCTACCTATACACTTCCAATTTATGATTTCCAAATAAGAACTAAAGCTATGTTGAATTGGTGCCCACATATGAATTTTCAGAAATGGAATCAACTATAATGTATAATATACTCGGCAGTAAATAAAGGCTCTAATGCAAATTTTTTAAAAAGCATTCTATTCATCTCCTTTTATAAATAGTCTAAGGAATATTCGGGTACCTTTGAATATTTAACAACAAAAGAAGTTCTTACCTGCTGTTGCCCAGTGTCCAGGCCCAAAGCTTTAACAAATCCCGATGGATCAATGTATCGTCTATTACTGTTCTGCAACAAGGCAAACAAGTACTGTAGATGCTCACAAATTGTCTGAGGCTCATAGTCTATTAAAAGAAAAATATAAGTTTGCTTTTTTAAAGTTGCTACTTTTTAAAAATTGGTGGTGCTTTCTCCTCACACAAGAACATAATTATGTTCACACAAGAACATAAGTAAACATCCTTACATCCAAACTATATTGTTTTATTATCACTTTGAAACTTAAACAAAATTAGCAACCACATCTTTTGAAAGTAATGAGGCAGCCAGGGCTGTCTATATACATTCCTGGAAAGGAAGAGGCTATACACACATTACAGCAACAACGGCAATTATGACCACAGTTTCTAGTCATGAATTTAGAAGTCCAGTTAAGGTGGACTTGCCACAAACAGAACAAGTGACAGAAATCTCAAGCAATTCACACTTGAGTGAAGAATACAAAATCCTGCAATTTTAGAGTTTCAAGTTTTAACGAGTTGGAGGAGATGCAAATAGGAAGTATGGGTCTCAAGATCCCTGAAAGTCCCACGTCTTATCTTGTTACTAGTTTATTTTTGGGGGGGACAGAGTCTCACTCTGTTGCCTGGGCTAGAGTGCTGGGGTATCAGCCTAGTTCACAGCAACCTCAAACTCCTGGGCTCAAGCAATACTCCTGCCTCAGTCTCCCGAGTAGCTGGGACTTCAGGCATGTGCCAACATGACTGGCTACTTTTTAATGTATTTTTTTAGTTGGGCAATTAATTTCTTTCTATTTTTAGTAGAGATAGGGTCTTGCTCTTGCTCAGACTGGTCTTGAACGCCTAAGCTCAAACGATGCGCCCACCTCAGCCTCCCAGAGTGCTAGGATTACAGGCATGAGCCACCACGCCTGGCCCCAGTTACTAATTTATTACTTCTCAGCTCCAAGTTCAACCTTTTTTGCCTGCTCTGTGATGACAGAGATGAACTCTGCAAATATTTCTCCTTTGCCAGTTATCAAGAGGTTAGTTCTATTGGTGGAGGGCACTGGAGGGTTAAGCTGTGCCTCTCTCACCAGCCTCCTGCGAGTCAGCTTCTTCCAGGGCTCCAGGTTCCTGCAGCTACAGTGGCCAGCAGCTTCCCCCAGCACCTCCTCTGATAGCTTCACAGCAGTGCCTCCACTGAGGCACTTCCTCTTGAAGGACCACCCTGTGAATGGCCTCCTGGACACCCTCCTGGACAGGTTCCAGCAGGGATCCCCAGTGTGGCACCTCAATACCTGTTTAGCCATCCAGTGTGTCCCAGCAGTGCTCTGTCCAAAGAGGTCTGGATCTCAGGGCTGGGACATGGGAATGGGGGACTCTTTCTGGGCATTCTCTTTTAGCTCTAGGGATAAAGGCTGCTCCCCATATCTGCTGTTCCTGTATTTTTTAAAACCCTCTTTAACTCTTGTTAACCAATTCCCCATTACTCTAATTCCCTGTTAATAATTTTCTGTATGAAACTTCTCCCTGTTCAAATTACTGTGTATTAGACTCTGAATATTTATCTTCTTACTACTAATTGTGACTTTCAGCAAGTTAATGTGTCATCTGTAAAATAAAGATAAAATCTTACTTCTTAGGGTACAAGAGCTTTGCAGGCTGTTAAAAGCTGTTCAAGTAAGATTGTGTTTACTTCAACTCTCTCATTTTACAGTTTGGAATACTCTCTAGTAAGATCTTAAATAACTTAAACCCTGCTGGTTTTCCCATCTGAAAAATATGGGAGTGGTAGAGCTATAAATACAACACAAACTCCATAATTTCTAATACAAATTCTTTCCACTACGCTACACTGTGCCTATTAAACATATTAGCATTGAAAGTGTGCACTCTTGTTGGAGAATATGATAAAAGGCTTTCATAAAATATAACAATTTATGTGTTAAAAAAATTTCTATTTGCTTGAAGATACACATTAAAGCCATAATACCCAACAAAGGCCATGGCATAGCATTTTATAAAATAGAAATTTAGTATTCATTTGTTATTTTATTATATTCTTATTAATACATTTGTCAGAAAAACAATGCAAAAACTTAAAAATGAACCATTTTAAATTATCTTTTGCATATACTATTAAATACATAATATACCATTAATCTAGATTTAAATATTCAGAAATATAGAAATGAAGCTTTGGGGAAACAAATTTCTAAAGATTGTTTTAAGCACTATGTTTTAAAGCAAACAATAGTATTAACTGGGACGGAGACGCTAACTATCACCATAGCCTGGGCTCAAGCGAAAAAATTAGCCAGGCATGGTGGCACATGCCTATAGTCCCAGCTACTCAGGAGGCTGAGGCAGGAGGATCGCTTGAGCCCAGGAGTTCAAGGCTGCAGTGTGCTATGATCGTGCCTGTGAATAACCAGTGCACTTATCTAGCCTGGGCAACATCAAACCCTGTTTCAAAAACTGAAAGAAAGAAAAGAAATTATAGCCATCCACTATAAGATGAAAAAGCAAATGTACCTCCTTCATTTGAATTGAACCATTTTGGTGCATAAATGATAAATATATAGGGTAAAAGGAAAACTATTATATTCTGAATCTTATGTTTATAAAAGATATAGGACCATGTCCTGGCACATAATGAGCACCCGTGTTTGCCCCTTTGTGCTGGTTCAGAAGTGATCTAGCTGGAATAAACTCAGCAGTGAGCTCTTCCCCAACCATCACCACCAACCTTTCTCTTCGTGGATACCATCTCCCATCATGTAGTCACTGCAGGTACTTGGACATAAGTATAGCGCCTGCCGAAGCTCCAAGTTGAGAAACCACACTTGAAGAAAAGTGTTGACATAACAAGTAGCTCCAAGGTTAGTCAGGCCCACAAATGAGTTCTACAAAAATACAAATTTTACAATTATAAAATCATTTTTCCATTAAACAAAAAATTTGTAAGTAGCAATATTTTTAAATTTTTAGATTAAAAATTTGTCACACAGCACTCTAGGAGGCCGAGGCGGGCAGATTGCTCAAGGTCAGAAGTTCGAAACCAGCCTGAGTGAGACCCCGTCTCTACTAAAAATAGAAAGAAATTAATTGACCAACTAAAAATATATATACAAAAAATTAGCCAGGCATGGTGGTGCATGCCTGTAGTCCCAGCTACTCTGGAGGCTGAGACAGGAGGATTGCTTGAGCTCAGGAGCTGCGCTAATGCCACGGCACTCTAGCCTGGGCAACAAAGTGAGACTCTGTCTCAAAAAAAAAAAAATTGTGAAACTGTCCCAACCAACATAGTATAGCTACCTTAAGTCTCCCTTGGCTGGAGGTGGGGCATAATTTTCATGAAAGCCCCATTTGGGGTTGACTACAGGAGTGGAAAAGACTTTAGACAGCATCACTGCTCATCTCTAGCATATTGTCTTCTCCAGCCACTTAAATCTAAAATTAGAACAGTGGATTCTACAAAACGTCAGTTTTGAACTCATGTATCTACGTTTTTCATTTGCTATACTCCTAAACTGCCAACATTCAATAAAATGACGAAGTAAAACTTCCAGAAAAGTTCCTTTATACCCTAGAGATTTGGAAGATTGGGGTGAGGGAAGGTAACTGGTTGCACCTTTTTCAAAAGATAAGGTTGAGAATTTTTGAATTTACAAAGAATTATTCCTTTTAATAAACATAATATCTATACAACAACATAACTGACTGCTCTGTGATTGCCAGGTTTATGGTTAGAAAACATTAATATGTATTTTCAAATAGTAAAACTATATGATATAAATATTAATCTATAAAATATAAGCTCTAGAAAGCAAGTTATATTATTATATGAGCTTGTTCTCCTGAATTATCACCTCCTATAAAGAGACTTTAAAAGAGTTCGAAATAAAATATGCAATGTTACAGCAAACACAGAATAAGCATTCAAACTAAAACTATTATTTAAAGGCTTGCTGCATTAAAGCTACCTGTTTCAAAGCATATCATTAAGAACTCCTCCAATTCAAGTGGCATAGTCTTAAATTCTACTACTTATCTTAAAGCTGAAAAAATAGGCTTATCAAAAAAATCAATAGTGGTTTCTGATCATAGGCACAAAACAAAAACAAAAACCAAAACCAAGGAATACCATACAACAATCACTTAGTAAATGATGGTTTACCTTTTTTCTCCTCTCACAGTTGGGATCATCGATGTTATGAAAACTATTTTCATCTATTTCTCCTAACCAGATATGCTCACCAATCCCAACCAAACAATTAGGATTTCCTTTGCAGTTTCGTCTATGAAAAAAAAATTATTTAATTTTAATATGTCATAGTTTCATGATAACCAAGCAAATTAAAACTATAATGAGATACCATTTCCCAACTATTTCTCATCTAAAAGATTAACAAAACAGAAAATATAACAATACATACAGTTTGTGAGGCTGTGGAGAAATTAGTATGCATATATTGCTGGTAGGAATGCAAACTGGCAGGACTTTTATGAAGGGGGATTTTGTATTATTTAACATAACTATACATAGGAGGCAAGGCACAGTGGCTCATGTCTGTAATCCTGGGAGGCCAAAGCAGGAGGATCGCTTGAGCTCAGGAGTTTTAGACCACCTGGGGCAACATAGTGAGACCCTTGTCTCTACAAAAAAAAATTTTTTTCAATTAGCCAAGTGTGGTGGCACACACCTGTAGTCCTAGCTGCTAAGGAGGCTGAGGCAAAAGGATCACTTGAGCCCAGGAGTTTGAGGCTGCAGTGAGCTATGAGCATGCCACTGCAGCACTCCAGCTGGGGATAGGCAGCAAGATCCCGGCTCAAAAAAAAAGGGAACAAAAAAAATCCAAAAACAAACAAACAAACAAAAACCCCAAAAAATCTACATCTATGGTTACATTTTGACCTAGCAATCTCAAAAGAATTTACCCTGAAGATGACACCTCTAACAATGCAAAAACACATACATTAGATTATTCACTACAGCAGTCTATAATTGCAAAATACTAGGAACAACCCCAATGCCCAGATGTAGAGGAAATGGTACACCCAAATAATGGAGTACTATGCAACTATAAAACAAAAAACATGAAGAAGATCTCTATAAACCAATGTAGAGTAATTTCCAGAATATATTAAATGAAAAGAGGAAAGCACAAGAGTATTTATGGTATTCAGTATTATATACTATTCAATATTATGTAGGAAAGCTGGCGAAATAAAATACACATGCATATGCTCATTGGAACAAAAAGGAAACACAGAAAGGATAAACCACAGACAGAATAATGAAACTGATTACCCTACAGAGCATGAGTCAGTATAGGGTTAAAAAAAAAAAAAGGAGAAAATAAATCAACAAGGATGGGAGGAATCCTAAATTCAACAAACAAAAACTAACTATATTTCAACTGAATATTATATCCACACTGAAGCAAGGTGGGAGGTGACTGGCCCAAGTAACTTGAACATAGTCATTAATTAGCAAGCTCATTTAGTAGTGTCCTCAGGCTAAAGACAAAAGAAACAATTGCCAAACTCTAATTAGTAGGCTTCTTTTTTCACAGAAACAGGGATTAATAATTCTGAAACCAAGATCTCAACTTCTAAATATTCTCCACTAAAAGAAACCAGCTCCTTGGAGAAATGTCTGGTTCCAAGGTTAGGTAGAGGAAATGACAAGGTGAACCCAGAACACCTTTCTGTAACCCCAGAAGGATCCACTCACAGAATGATGAGGATGTGTTAAAAGAGCACAGAGTCATCGAGAAGGGGAGGCCCCACTGGCCAAATCTGGCAACAGAATTTGCGCAATAAAATAATAGGATAACTTACCAAAATAAATAACAACAGGATTCTAATCTATTGAATAAAGTAAGAATCCAAGGCTTCATGATGAGATGGATAGACAGATGAAAGAAAAATCTTTCTTTTAAAAGAAAAACTTACAAGTCAGAATCTGCTTAAAAAAAAAAAATAAAAGAAAAGAAAAGAAAAGAAAAACAACTATTAAAGTGGAAGGAATGACAGAATTAGAAAATCCCCATTTGGCATCCATCAGATTAATAAAAGAATCGGATAAGAATTATTGACTGGATGCCAGTGCAGGCAAGTTGGAGGAGCAATAATATTTACAATGTATCAAAATATCTCAGCACCAATTTATTCTTTTCTTTGAGACAGTCTCACTCTGTTGCTCAGGCTAGAGTGCGGGGAGTCAGCCTGGCTCACAGCAACCTCAAACTCCTGGGCTCAAGCAATCCTCTTGCATCAGCCTCCCAAGCAGCTGGGATTACAGGCATGTACCACCATGCCTGGCTAATTTTTTTTCTATATATTTTTAATTGTCTAGCTAATTTCTTTCTATTTTTAGTAGAGATGGGGTCGTGCTCTTGCTCAGACTGGTCTCGAACTCCTGAGCTCAAACGATCCGCCCACCTCAGCCTCCCAGCATGCCAGGATTACAGGCGTGAGCCACTGAGCCCAGCCTCAGCACCAGTTTATTGATTACAAAGGGAAAAACAGTTACTTTTAGTGGAGAAACCTGGCAGACCACCTTAACCATATGATCAAAGTTGAGGTAGCCAGTAATAGATCTAATTGATAGCACACACCTCCTGGCATAATGCACAAAGAATATAGCACCACTTCTGTGGTGTTGTGTCCAAAAGTGAATAACCTAAATCTAATCACACTAAACCCAACTTGAGGAACTTTCTACAAATGAATTCAATGTCATGAAATATAAAGAAATAACAAAGAAATATTCAATAACCATTCCAGATGAAAGGAGACTGAGGAGGTGACAACTGAAAGCAACATCTGAACTTTGGTTTTCTTTTGCTATAAAGGACATTATTAGGATGAAAAGTTCTGCATTATTTCTGAAGGTTATCCACTAAAGTATTTGTAATAGCATAAAAAATTGGAAACTTCATCATTGCCCATAGGGAATTGATAAATTATAACTAAACAATAGAAACTACTGCAGTCAAGAAAAACAAAGGTAGAGAAAGCTTTTTATGTTATTATATGTAACAACATTGTTAGTTGAAAAAAAGGCACAAAATTGTGCATATCATGTTACCATTTTGTTTCCAAATGGAGATGATACAACTGTTTGTTTAGATGGAAGGATACACTATCAACTGGAAAGGACCATACCTGAGAAAGTTCTCTGTACTTACTAGCTGCAGATCACAAGTAAAAGACTTTGGCCTGGCCAGGCTCATGCTTGTAATAACAGTACTTTAGGAGGCCAAGGTGGAAGGATTGTTTGAATCTAGGAGTTCCAGATCTCTTTTCTACAAATAAAAGGAGAAGTAGAAAAACAAAAACAACTACCTAGGCATAGCAGCATGTGCCTGTAGTCCCAGCTACTCAGGAGGCTGCCACAGAGGGTCCCTTGAGCTCAGGAGTTGGAGGCTGCAGTGAGTCTTTAAAAAAAAAAAGTAGTAGTAAAAGACTTTCTGTGCTCCCTGATCACTTATTATACCTTTCAGAATCTGAAAGCTGGAATGTACTACACATTCCAAAAATAACTCAGTAATTGTTTTAACGTTCTGTATATACATAGTTTCCTGGCTTTTATAAAATAAAAATGAAGCAGGGCATGGTGACATGTGCCTGTAGTCCCAGCTACTCAGGATGCTCATACAGGAGGATCGCTTGAGCCCAGGGTGAGGCTGGAATGGGAACTGATCTTGCCTATGAATAGCCACTGCACTCCAGCCTGGGCAACACAGTGAGATCCTGTCTTTATATAAAAAAACAAAGAAAACAAAAAAATAAAAATGAAAACAAGCTTGACCAATTTAAGAGCAGTTTTGTAAGTTTTATGTCAAAGCCAGGTTGGAAAATAACTTACTCAAGAAATAAAAATAGAACTTATCCATTGTGAGGACAAAGATCTAAATGAAGTTTTGTTTTGGTGCCTACAACTCACTTCTAATGGGAAAGGACTACTACAAGGGAGTTAAAATGCTGAGATGGGGAAAAAAAAGGACTTTTACACAACTAGTAAAGGTTTCTCTTCTATCAAGAGAAGATACAAATAAACAAAAAGAAAACCATCCAGAGACTGAGAAAAATAACCTAGAATCTTTCCTTGGAATAGTAGCAAAGATATATTAATACTAGGAAGATTGTTTAAAAAGAAAATTAAAGCTAGCAGCACTAGAATACAAGGTATTTGGGAAAGATATAGAAAAAGTATCAACAACTAGAGTGAAAATGTACAACTGAAGCAAAATAAGTTGGTAACTTTTGTCCATTCTTCCAAATCTTCTTTTCAAAGGTGTGATATCAAGTCTTATCTGTTCACTGTCTCTTTTTGAACAGGAAAGTGCTAAGAATTTTTCACATGATTTGGATGGGGAGACAGACATTCCTATAGGTCAAACACACCATTTTCTCAGAAAACAGTTCCAGCTGAACCATTGGTATTCTCATCTTTTGTTACTGACAGCAAAATAATTCAGACAATGAACAAAAAGTAGGCTCTCCATGTCCTCACCCCTAGCCCTCCCACACAAAAAAATCAGGCACATTTGACGGGTTCTAAGGCTGCCTTAAAAAGCAAACATAAATACAATATTACAATAAGACTTTCAAAAGCTAATGTGAGAAGTTGGGAGCAATTTGTATTATTAGACCACAGAACACTGGCGTTGTTCTTTTTAAATTAAATTCCTAACTTAAATGCTGGCTAGGTGTTATTGAGTAAGTCTTCAATCAGCTAGAATGCACCATCATGGTGCAAGTGAGAGGAAGCTGTGATGAAGCACCACCCCAAGCAGAACCCATGGCCTTTGGTCTCCATGGCCACACTTTGGGTGGGGACGAGAAAGCCAGTAATGGTACTCTGCATTAAAGGGGGCTTGATTAAAGTTGTCCAAATTGTCCTAAGCCTTTTGTATAATGAGCCCCATATGGTAGGGTTTTTTTGGTGTATACTATCTTGTGTGTACTTATAACTTCCAAAGTATAAAAAAATAGATGAAGGAGGCTGAATGTTCCAAGAAACATGTCTCTAGTGCTAGAGACACATATCTGCATGAAGGACATATCTGTTCAATGTGTAAATACCCTAGCCAGTTTGACTCATTTGTAATGCCTAGCTGGTCCTAGGGAGCATCTGGATTTGCGAATTCTGGCTTAGAAATCAAATACTTTTTCAAGGTCACAAGCAGCCCTGATTTAATCTATGCAGAGTGGAGCCACTCATCTTCTCTGCAAAAGTTCTTACAACCTTGTGACTGTATCCTCTAGATACTTCCCCACAAATCCT